GCTGCGCTGATTGGCTGCAGCAAGTTTAATGTACAGACAGGCTGCGCAACTACTTTTCTTGACATCGCGGGTGAGTCATGTTAGACGCACCCTCTGTCTCGCTGTACGCTCGTCGATCTGTATTGCCTAGCGGGATGCGGGTTTGTCTATAACTGGGCGAAGTGGCGGTGGATTTCATTATGGCATGCATAGATATTATGCATGCTGCAGCCAATCAGCGCAGCCGCCAGCGATTGGGCTTGCCGCCGCCTTCAGATGTAGCATGCGAAGGATCATTTTGCATGTATATTTGAGGAATTTCTGTGATTTGAGCGCATTGTGGCGGGCCGATTGTCAAAAATGGCGGGTGTAGCTTGTTCAGCAGTCTTCCGCGATTCCAACGATAGTTGAAAAGTGGCGTCACCTGCAGGAGCACCGGAGTTGTAGCTGATTGAAAACAGTGAGTTGTTGTGGTCCGTGCGGCGGCGAGTTAGGCACCATGTAGTATATAATATAGTTAATGGCGGCGTGTGTGCTGTAGCTGCAGTGCCTGAAATGGGGGCCAACCTTCGGCTGGCCCCCAATTTTTTTGGGGAGTGAGTAAATTTTTTTAGTCACTGGCCCAAATGCATTGTTGGAGGCCCAAATTTTATACAGCAGCACATCTGAGCCAGTGCACATAGAGCGAGTGCGCGCGATCTGAGCGAACTCAGCTAGGCACCCTGATTCTCACCGGTCTCACTGCTAGCATAATTTATCCATTACTATGCCACACTAGCGTTATACAGCGGGCATAGCATACAAGCGTATAAGCAAGCATGGCCGATCAGGGTGGGCTCAGGTCAGCGATACATGTACATGTGTGATGTTATACATTGTATCAAGCTAGCCAGACAACGCATCTAGACATGTATGTTTGCAGTGTATAGCGGGAGTCGAAGAGTACCAGTCTACCCCGCCGTCAGCAAGCTCGGTCGGAACGAAAATGCGCGAGCTTGCATGGTCTGATTGTATCCTAGCGTGGACTCCGGTTTAGGATTATGATTAGTTAGATAGTAAACAAAGAACAACTCAAACATATCAGTAAATTTGTTTATGTGTTGAAATATTGGCAGTCGCCCAAACTTTTTTTGGGGGGCAAGTGACTACTTGACTTGTGCAATTTTTGGTCGCCCGAGCTAGACATTGGTCGCCTGTGGCGAGTGGGCGACCGTCCATTTTAGGCACTGTAGCTGGTGCGGACTTGTTCTTGCTGCCAGTGATGTTCCTCAATGGTGTAATCGACACCCCGAAATTTCCAGCTGTGTTTAGGTTTGGCAATCCCAATTCAATTCAATTCAATCACTTTATTTACACTAACAATTATATTTTGAAAGTATTATATTGGTTAAACAAATTAAATTACAATCACAGTCGTGCAGCGTTTTCACAGCTTCAGCTTGATATAAACGTCTCCAAATTGACCGACGTTACCTGTGACCTCGTGTATTGGGCTGCTACCCACACACTTCATTGACTCCAATTAGCAATTGGGAATGAATTACCAGATTTCGCGACATATCTCCTGAAATTCATGGGGAGAACCCTGATATATATATATATATATATATGATATATTTGTTATCCTTTTGTCCTTTTGTAGATTTCGAAGATTCTAAAAAAAGATGTCAGCCAGAGAACGGAGGAGGAAATGCTGGTGATGCAACAGTCGCCAGAAATTGTCAAAAGCATTGAGAGTCGGGCGAGAAAACGTGCCAAAATTTTGGAGAACAAATCAGAAGTATGAAACAGCATAGTGTGGGTTAATTTTAAGAAATTCACACGTATTTCGTCCAGTCGATCATCACGGATAATTGTAACTGTAGTGTGCATATGTGCTCTAATTTTTTGCTTTATTATACTTATTTATGTATTTGCCTGCCGCGACGTAATAATACATACGTGAATATGCTATAAGAATATGCATTTCTTTATGTAATGAAATCAAGTATCATATTTTTATATTAATATAGTATAGTAGCTTCACTGAGGTCAGTCGTCGTCACGGAGATGCCCTTCTGCATCTGCGTCCACACGCCATTCGGACCCCGGTAGTCCGGGATCGAGGCTGCCTGCATCACACACAGACACACACACACACATGTGAATACAGTATAGACACTCTCTCTATATATTCCCCCAAAACTCCTACAAACCACATGCACCACGCACATGTACTGGTTCTCCCAGACCGCGTCCTACCCCATTTCACAATAACCCTAGAAACTGCCTAACCTAACCACGTTTACAATTCTCCCTAATACATCAATGTAGCCGCCACAAGCGACGCTCTGTCTAGCTAGACTATGACTAAAACAACTACTAGTCTAGCTCCACTGACTAATTCATGTAACACGCGCAAAACACATGTTACAACGATTCAAGGATTACACACCAGCAACCTCCAGTGGAGAATCAAAACAAGCAGAAATCCTATTAATTTGAGCCTCAATTTCTGACAACAACTGACTGACTTTTATCACTAATCCTAACCATATCAGACACTCTTCATTATGTGAGCAATTTCACATTTTCACATAGTAGTCAAATGGTACCACCACCTGTGTATTAATTTGTGGATGTAACGACGTACAAAAATCTGAGAGGATTTCAACTGTAAACAATTGTTCGTGTTTTTTCTGGGGGCCTGCTTATTTCAGCCAAAAAGTTGACGACCAGAACAAGGAATGACCAGCCGTTGATCTGTGAGACAAGTGACTTGTAGTGTCGGCTAAACAAGTGATCTTATTCCTTATTACTTACCGTGCTGATGCCAGCTCCCGTGTAGATCACTAGCGCCCTCGAGTGGCGAATTGCTGAGGCTAACTGCTCACACTTGTCATGCAGTACATCTGACGTTTCTTCCCACTATCACAGAAAACCAGGACTTACACATAGAACTATAAATTACACCTATTAATTTTACATAGTGCAAATGCAACAAATGAGAAAGAACATCAATTTTGCCAACAGATCGATTACCGACTATTTAGAAGACTACGATACAATTACGCAGAGCACGCAGATATTTATACCAATATACTATGTATACAATATATACTAATTGGAACCGACCTTCACACACATGGCCATCAAGAAGCTGTGGGACGAGGGACTGGTAAGATTGTAGTAGGATGGACAGCTGGACGGATGGATGGGTGGAGGGATGGATGGATGGATGGATCATGATGGACAGGTGGACGGATGGATGGATGGGTGGATAAATGGATGGATGGATGAGTGGGTGGATAGATGGATGGATGGGCAGATGAGAGAAGGATACACGGACTTGTGAATGGATGGATGGGTGGGTGGATAGATGGAT